TTTGGTCAGGCTGGTTTCGAACTCCCAACCTCAGGTGATCCATCCGCCTCAGCCTCCCAAAGTGCTGGGATTACAGGTGTGAGCCACCACGTCTGGCCTATATTATGTTTTCAAATATATGTATACAATATATACACAGTGTATATCTTACATTTTGACTCATCAATTTCACTTCTAAGAATTTATCCTACAGTTATACTTGCATATGTCTACACTTGATCTTAGCCAAAAGGCTGAGAAGCGATTGCATATGTCTAAAATGACATTATACAAGGATATTTATATAGTGGAGCATTGCTTGTTACAGGAAAAAACTAGAGATAACCTCAATGACCACCAGTAAGGAATAAATAAAGCATAGTATATTCTAATAATGCTATACCATTCAGACATTAAGAATTAGAAAACCCTATGTATTGATAGGAAACAATCTCTAAGATTTATTGAATAAAAAACAGTAACTTGTTCAAAGGTAAGGAAGTTGAAAATAAAACAAACAAATGAAAAAACCACAGTAACTTGGAGAAAGGATGTAAATTGTGCTACCATTTACACATAACACATTCACTTGAATAGTCAAAGAATAAATCTTGGTAGGAACATAAATAACTAGTTATCTTGGGTGTCTCTAGAGAGAAAAATGAATGTAGAAAGAGAATAGGAGGAAGACTTTAAGTAACCTTTTGAATTTTGACTTGTCCAAATGTATCATGTATTTAATAAATAAATTATTAAAATGCAAAAGGTATTCATAAATAATTCAAATGGAAGTAAGTATATTAGAAAAAAATGAATATCCACCTTAAACATTTTTTGTTTTTGAGATGGAGTGTCTCTCTGTCACTGAGGTGCTGAAATGCAATGGCACAATCACAGCTCATTGCAGCTTCCACCTCTTGGGCTCAAGTGATCCGCCCACCTCAGCCTGCTGAGTTGGGACTACCGGCATGCACTACCATGCCTCACTAATTTTATTTTATTTTATTTTATTTGCAGAGACGGGGTCAAAAGGCCAGGCTGGTCCTGAACTCCTGGATTCAATGATCCTCTCGCCTTAGCCTCCCAAAATGTTGGGATTACAGGGGTGAGCCATCTGGAGCAACTTTTATATACATTAAAAAACTTAAGAGCAACAAAATTAAGCCAGAGCTGCAAAATTCTACACCAACTGGCTAACACACAAAATACAATGTAAACATTCCCCAGGGGTTGGGTCCTAGATAGGAAGCTACTTACAATGGAAGATTTTAGGCACCCTGAAAAGAGTCCTCTGAATATCTTCTCATCTCTTTGCAGATGCTGCAATTTCACAGCATCTCCTTCCTTTGCGCCTGTAAAACAGTGGCAACAGTGACTCTTGTCCTGCCTGCCCATCAGCTTTGTAAACTGCAGGAGCTTGGAAATTATAAGGCACCATATGAAAAGGAGAGATTATTACTAAGAGACGGGGTTTTGCTGTGTTGCCCAGGCTAAAATGCAATGGCACTATCCTGTCTCACTGCAACCTCCGCCTTCTGGGTTCAAGTGATTTTCGTGCCACAGCCTCCTGACCAGCTCGGATTACAGGCACCTGCCACCACACCCGGTTAATTTTGTATTTTTAGTAGAGACGGGGTTTCAACATGTTGGCTAGATTGGTCTCGAACTCCTGACCTCAAGTGATCCACCCACCTCGGCCTCCCAAAGTGTTGGCATTACAGGCGTGAGACACTGTGCCCGGCCAGTAGAGATTATTACTAATAGACAGTGAAACTCGCTGTGTTGTCCAGGCTGGTCTCGAACTCCTGGACTCAAGCTATCCTGCTGCCTCAGCCTATCCACTCGCTATGCTCACAAGCGTGGGTCCCCCAGCGGCTGACTGTAAAGAGGTATCATTAAGTATGAGACTCCCCCCTGGCCGGGGAAGCCCTGCGCATGCAACGACCCTCTCTTCAAAAGGACGCCTCGCCTTCGCCCCAACCACAGCCTTCCAGCCTTCTGTTAGGTTTGGGAGACCGAGCCTGCAAAGAGAGCCGCGCCCCCATTGGCCAACCGGCGAGTCCCGCGCGGCTCCTCCTGGGAGTTGTAGTCCCATGAGCCGCTGGTCCCTGCGACTCGCGGGTGTGACGTTGAAGATGTCGGCCCTCTGAGCTGACTGCGGTGGTAAAGAGGTGGGTGTGTTTGGAAAGTGGGTAGTAAGAGAGCGAGGATGCGGGTGAAAAAACTAAGGGCCACAAATTTCTTTCTTTTTTTTTTTTTTTGAGACGGAGTTTCGCTCTTGTTACCCAGGCTGGAGTGCAATGGCGCGATCTCGGCTCACCGCAACCTCCGCCTCCTGGGTTCAGGCAATTCTCCTGCCTCAGCCTCCTGAGTAGCTGGGATTACAGGCATGTGCCACCATGCCCAGCTAATTTTTTGTATTTTTAGTAGAGACGGTTTCACCATGTTGACCAAGATGGTCTCGATCTCTTGACCTCGTGATCCACCCGCCTCTGCCTCCCAACGTGCTGGGATTACAGGCTTGAGCCACCATGCCCGGCCCACAAATTTCAACATAAGCAAGGTTTGCGGGCTCTCAGCAAGGTATAGAGCTACTTCGAATAGGGGCGCAGAGCCTTGCAGGTAAGGGAAGGCGCAAGCTCCCCGGCCAATCAGATACGAGCAGCCGTCATCCAACCCCGGAGGCCCCGCCCCTCCCCCGCCAATCGAAAGGGGAGGAGCTCGGCCTCTTTGAATGGCTTTGGGGTGGAGCAGGGGAGAGGGTGACTCCGTTTGCCTTCTCGTTATGGTGATGCCGTGCCAGCGGCTTCGGGGGTCCTGGGGACGGCCGAGTCACTGGGGGTGGGCTGGGACTCGGAACCTGCGTCCCATCTCCCTGCTCATTGGCCCGTCCCCCGCTGCGAGGGGTGGTCCTCCGGGATTCCTAGAGAGGACGCGGAAGTGCTGGGGGGGGTGGTTAACCCCGTTGCACTGGGGAATATTGGACTTGCTTACTTCCGGCGAGGAAGTCTTGGGAAGTGTCGGCTTCGGTTTCTCTCCGTAGGAAGAACCGCGTCTTTCCAGCCTCAGCTGCGGGAAGCTTGATGTTCCAGGAGAGCTCCCCGAGAGTGGGGCCTTGAGGGGAGGTGGCAGGGGCTTTGTGTCTGGACAGGGGTCCTGTCCCTAACCTTGACGAGGCCACAGTTTCTGTATCTGGTCAGGGGCCATTCTCAGGAATCCAGGTCCAGATCTGTACCTTGTAGACGCTGCTTCTCTTGGGACCGATGGAGTCTTCCGTTGGCCTGTCAAGCTCTTGCAGCTTAGAGGACAGGCCCCGTTTTGACCAGTATTATGATTTTCACCCCTATTCCAACTTGTTTGTCTTATGGTAGAGAGAAGGAGCGGCTGCGTCTGGACTAGTTAGTCTTGTCCCATTATTTATATGAAATGTAAAGTTCTTCACTCTAAAACTGTTTTAGGTTGGGCCTGATGTTAGATTTGTATGGCTCTGTTTTACATTTTTAAAATGTTGGGGGATCGCTTCTCGGCCTTTTGGCTAAGATCAAGTGTAAAATGTTAGGGGATATTCCTTATTACTCATCATATTGTGGATGAAGTGATGGCTACCTTGTAGTCCCTATTTTTAAGTAAGGTACTTTGTTGAGTGGTCTTTAGTATAGATGACCTCTTTGCTATCTGTCTTTGCTAATAATAATTCCCAATACATCAGTAGGTTGTATGCTACTGAGAGTGTCCTTCAGAAGATCTTAAAGAGCAGAAAACCAATTGGTTCAGTGTAACACAGCCAGCCTCTAGAGACTTCTCTCTGAGTTGGAATGATAATGACCGAATCCCGGGAAGTTATAGACTTAGATCCCCCAGCTGAGACTTCCCAGGAGCAGGAAGACCTTCTCATAGTGAAGGTGGAAGAAGAAGACTGCACCTGGATGCAGGAGTACAATCCGCCAATGTTTGAGACTTTTTACCAGCGCTTCCGGCACTTCCAGTACCATGAGGCTTCAGGACCCCGGGAGGCTCTCAGCCAACTCCGGGTTCTCTGCTGTGAGTGGCTGAGGCCCGAGCTACACACTAAGGAGCAGATCCTGGAGCTGCTGGTGCTGGAGCAGTTCCTGACTATCCTGCCTGAAGAGTTCCAGCCCTGGGTGAGAGAACATCACCCTGAAAGCGGAGAAGAGGCAGTAGCCGTGGTAGAAAATATACAGCGAGAACTTGAGGAACGCAGACAGCAGGTGAGTCAAAGAGAAGCTATATGAGCAATGAAGGAGAGGAGTGAAGGATCTGCTGAGCAGGGGTGAGATTCTTAGCCCTCTGGTGCTTCATTCATATTCTTTTGTTCTCCTGGGATTAGGTACCCTGTGACTTCCTGCCACTCCAGCAAAGAGAAGCAATATCCAGTGTGTTAACCTGTAGAAGACAATCTGCGATTTTATTTATTTTTTAAATTACTGTATTTATGTTTTGAGTGACATAATACAAAATTCAAAGAGGTACATAAGGTTGTAATGAAAAGTAAGTTTTCTTCCCATCCCCAACTTCTCAACTACCTAGTTCTCATCTGTGTATTCTTACAGAGCTATACCATATTCTGTATGTATAAGCATATATATGTGTCATACTTTGGAAAAACACAAATGTCTTTTAAGTCACTGTGGACTTCTGCCTCTTTTTTTCTTATATCTTGGTTTCTTCCATGCCACTGCCACTACAGCTGTCCCACTCTTTGAAACTGCATTGTATGTTTACTTCTATGGAAGAGTTCGAGTTGTTCCATTTAAATTGCTCCTTGAGATTGTTTCTAAATTTGTGTTATTTTATTTTTGAGACGTAGTTTTATTCTGTCGCTAGGCTGGAGTGCAGTGGTGTGATCTTGGTTCACTGCAGTCTCCACCTCCCAGGTTCAAGTGACTCCCCTGCCTCAGCCTCTCAAGCAGCTGGGACTATAGGCACGCACCACCACACCCGGCCAATTTTTTGTATTTTAGTAGAGACGGATTTTACTGTGTTGGCCAGGATGGTCTCTATCTCCTCACCTCGTGATCTGCCCGCCTCAGCCTCCCAAAGTGTTGGGTCTACAGGTGTGAGCCACCGCGCCTGGCCTCTAAATTTGTATTATAACAATTCTTTGCTTCAGTGAATATCTCATATGTGTGTGTATATGTATGTATGTATACAATATACATATGTATGTGTGTACATAGATATATGGGCTGGGCATGGTGGCTAACCCTTGTAACCCCAGCACTTTGGGAAGCTGAGGTGGGAGGATCACTTAAGACCAGGAGTTCTTTCAAGGTGAAATTTGGGTGGAAAACAACAACAACAACAAAAAAAAAACAAAATCAGGAGTTCCACAAGCTTGGGCAACATAGCGAGATATCATCTCTACTGGAAAAAACAAACAAAAAATTAGCTGGGTATGGTGGCATGCACTTATACTTCCAGCTACTCAAAAGGCTGAGGCAGGAGGATTCCTTTACCCTGGGAGTTTGAGGCTGCAGTGAGCTGTGATTTTGCCACTGCATTCCAGCTTGTGTGACAGAGGGACCCCCTGTTTCAAAAAAAAGTAAAAATTAAAAACAAAAATTAAATTGAAAAAAATATAAGTATATAAAATTAATTGTAGAAGGAATGCTTGAAATTCAAAATTGTTGACTTAGAGTACATTTATAATTTTGATAGCTATTGACAGGTTGGTTCCCTTATAGAGATTAAAATAATTTAGAGTACCACCACCAATATATGAGAGAAATTTTTTGGCCATAGCCGGATAGCACAATATTATCACGATTTGTGATGATTGCCAGTACATAAGATGCAATAGTTTAAGCCAGGTGCAGTGGCTGATGCCTGTAATCCGATTACTTTGGGAGGCTGAGACCATCCTGGCTAACATGGTGAAACCCCATCTCTACTAAAAATACAAAAAATTAGCAGAGCATGGTGGCACGTGCCTGTATTCCCAGCTACTCAGGAGGCTGAGGCAGCAGAATCATTTGAGTTTGGGACACGGAGGTTGCTGTTAGCTGAGATCACGCCACTTCTCTGCAGCCTGGGTGACAGAGAGAGACTACGTCTCAAACAAACAAACGAAAAAAGACGCAATATTTTATTCCTGTGAAATTTCTTTCTTTCTTTCTTTTTTTTTTGAGACAAGGTCTTACTCTGTTGCCCAGACTGTAGTGCAATGACACGATCTCGGTTCACTACACCCTCCACCTTCCAGGCTGAAATGATTCTCCTGCCTCAGCTTCCCGGGTAGCTGCAATTACAGGCATGTGCCACTACGGCCCAGCTAACTTTTGTATTTTTAGTAAAGATGGGGTTTCACCATGTTGGCCAGGGTGATCTTGAACTCCTGACCTCAGGTGATCCTCTCGCCTCAGCCTCCCAGAGTGCTGGGATTGCTGGTGTGAGCAACCGTGCCCGGTCATTTCTGTGAAATTTCAATTGGAATTTCTTTTGACCACAGCATATATTTTTAAGGGTTATTTGTGTACCCTATTTTGGTGAATTATCTGTTTATGTTCCTTATCAATATTTTTTTTTTTTTTTGAGACGGAGTTTCACTCTTGTTACCCAGGCTGGAGTGCAATGGCGCGATCTCGGCTCACCGCAACCTTCGCGTCCTGGGTTCAGGCAATTCTCCTGCCTCAGCCTCCTGAGTAGCTGGGATTATGGGCACGCACCACCATGCCCAGCTGATTTTTTGTATTTTTAGTAGAGACGGGGTTTCACCATGTTGACCAGGATGGTCTCGATCTCTTGACCTCGTGATCCACCCACCTCGGCCTCCCAAAGTACTGGGATTACAGGCGTGAGCCACCGCGCCCAGCCTTTTTTACTTATTAGAAACAATAAGCATTGTGTCTGTCATATGAGTTGTAAGTGTTACTTTTCCAGTTTGTTGTTTGTCTTTGCTTGTGGAGATTTTTGTTTTTCACGTTATCTTTTTTTAGAGATAGGGTCTTGCTCCGTTGTCCAGGCTGGCCGTTGGCAAGGCAGGAGTGCAGTGGCACAATCATAGCTCACTGAAGCCTTGGACTCCTGGCCTCAAGTGATCTTCTTGAGTAGCTAGGACTGTAGGCACTTGCCACCACATACATCTAATTAAATATCTTTTTTTTTTTGAGACTGAGTCTTCCTCTGTCACCCGTGCTGGAGTGTAGTGGTGCAATCTCGGCTCACTGCAACCTCTGCCTCCTGAGTTCAAGTGATTCTCCTGCCTCAGCCTCCTGAGTAGGTGGGACTACAGGCACCTGCCACCACGGCCAGCTACTTTTTGTATTTTTAGTAGAGATGGGGTTTTGTCATATTGTCCAGGCTGGTCTTGAACTACTGACCTTGTGATCCATCTGCCTTGGCCTCCCAAAGTGTTAGGATTACAGGCGTGAGCCACCACACCCAGCCCCCAAAATTTTTTTTGTAGATGAGGTCTTGCCAAGTTGCCTAGGCTGGTCTGGAACTCCCGGGCTCAAGGGATCCTCCTGTGTTGGCCTCCCAAAGTTCTGGGATTATAGTTGTGAGCTACTATGTCCAGCCAGTGTTTAAAATTTTTATACAGTCAGTTAAGTATTTTATTTTATGGTTAATGGAGTTTGTTTATTTTTTATTTTTATTTATTTATGTATTTATTTGAGACAGAATCTTGCTCTGTCACCCAGGCTGGAGTGCAGTGGTGCAATCTCAGCTCACTGCAACTTCTGCCTCTCAGGCTCAAGTGATCCTCCCACCCCAGCCTCCTTAATAGCTGGGACTATAGATGTACACCACCAGGCTTGGCTAATTTTTGTATTTTTAGTAGAGGTGTGGTCTCACCATGTTGCCCAGGCTGGTCTTGAACTCCTCAGCACGTCATCCTCCCGCTTCTACCTCCCAAAGTGTTGGGATTACAGGCATGAGCCACCATGCCCAGCCTGCAGCCATCTCTTAATGGAGCTCCTTCACCACATTTTGCCAGTTGCAGGAGGATTTAAAAAAAAGTGCTTTGAAACCTAAGGGAGGGAGAAAAGGGGATAGGAACTCACTGCATTCCAATATGTTAGTAGTGAGCTAGTTCCTGCCAGAATAGGCAGGTTCTAGAGAGTGGTTGTAGCAGAGTAATTGTGTGTTCCTAGGGCTGAGCAAGAGCCAAGAACGGAAAGGTAGAGGACTGTAACATGCAGGGCATGAGCTTGCTTCAGTCTCGGTGTTGGTCTGTCCAGTGTGACTTCCTGAGTGCTATGATGACCATTCCAATCTCCCTTCCACCACCCATTCCTCTTCACACACTGGCCTTCTTATGGCTTCCTGACTGTACTAGACATCCTCTTTCTGCCTGAGAATTTTGTTTTCTTTCTTTCTTTTCTTTCTTCTTTTTCTTTCTCTCTTTTTTTGTTTTTTGACTGGAATGCAGTGGTGCAATCTCCACTCACTGCAATCTCTGCTGCCTGGGTTCAAGTGATTCTCCTGCCTCAGCCTCCCAGGTAGATGGGATTACAGGCGCCCGCCACCACACCCAGCTAATTTTTGTATTTTTAGTAGAGATGGTATTTTGACCATCTTTGCCAGGCTGGTCTTGAACTCCTGACCTTGTGATCCACCCGCTTCAGCCTTCCAAAGTGCTGGGATTACAAGCATGAGCCACCACATTGGCCCTTTTCTTTTTTTGTTTATTTATTTTTTCTTTTTTTAAGATGCGGTTTCACCATGTTGGTCAGGCTGGTCTTGAACTCCCGACCTCAGGTGATCCGCCCACCTTGGCCTCCAAAGTGCTTGGATTACAGGTGTGAGCCACTGCTCCCAGCCAGCCCTTTTCTTTCTTTTCTTTCTTTGGGCAGGGTCTTGCCCTGTTGCCCAGGCTAGAGTGCAGTGGTGTGATCATAGCTCACTGCAGCCTTGACCTCCTGGACTCACTGGAGCCTTGAGCCTCCTGGGTTCACTTGAACCTCCTCCCGCTTCAGCCTCCTGAGTAGCAGGGACCACAGTGTGGCATGCCACCATGCCTGGCTAATTTTTAATTTTTTGTAGAAACGGGGTCTCATTGTGTTGCTCAGGCTTGTCTTGAACTCGTGGGCTCAAGCGATCCTCTCACTTCAGCCTCCCAGTGTTGAGATTATAGGCACGAGCCACCCCCGCCTGGCCCTGAGAGAGTTTTTGAATGTTCTCTCTGCCTGGGTCACTTCTGTGTTTTTTCTGGCTGGCTTTGTTTCCCCCTTTCAGTGTTTCCTTAAGGACACTTCCTCAGGAAAGCCTTCCCTGGCCTCCCAGTCTAAAACAGGTTTCCTCTGTTCTGTCTCGTGGAATCAGTTTCTTTTCCATTCCAACATATAGCCCAGTTTGTAATTATGTATTTATTTGTGTTTTGATGTGTTTGATGAACGTCTTCTCCAACTAGAAGTAAACCATGTTTATTAAATAACTGCATAATCGGTGCCTGGCTCATTGTAGATGCGCATTAAATATTTGGCAAAGGGATGAATGAAAGTCCACTGTGACTCTACTGGTTTCTTTCATGGCTGTCTCTGTAACTGTGCTGATCAGTTGTGGTTGTGGTTGTTAGATTGTTGCCTGCCCTGATGTGCTTCCTCAGAAGATGGCACCACCTGGAGCAGTGCAAGAGTCCTTTAGTCACCAGCCCCTGACTGTGGACACCCAGCTTGAGCAAGCGCCACAGAAGCCTCATCTCCTGGAGGAAAATGGTGAGGCTAAGCGATTCAGTGGAAGAGATATGGCTCCAGAGTGGGTGGTTGGCTATGTGGCAGGCACCATCTGCTAGAGACTCTAGGCTGAGCAACCTCTTTACAGCCTTCAGGGTCTAGAAGTAGGGAAAGGCCGGGGACCTGGAGTTGAGTTCCTGGTGTTCAATGAAAGCAATTCCTAGGATGGTTAGGAATTACACCACAGTTTCATTGAAAAGCTACAATACAAATGATGACAGCTCCAGGTACAGGGACTGCTTCTCCCTCATGGATTTTTATTTATTTATTTAATTTTTTTTTGAGATGAAGTCTCACTGTGTTGCCCAGCCTGGAGTGTAGTGGCATGATCCCGTCTCCCAGGTTCAAGTGATTCTCTTGCCTCAGCCTCCTGAGTAGCTGGGATTACAGGCGTGCGCAACCACGCCTGGCTAGGTTTTTTGTTTGTTTGTTTGTTTTTTTGAGACGGAGTCTCACTCTGTTGCGCAGGCTGGAGTACAGTGGTGTGGTCTCGGCTCATTGTGACCTCTGCCTCCCAGGTTCAAGCAATTCTCTGCCTCAGCTTCCTAATTAGCTGGGATTACAGGCGCCTACCACCATGCCTGGCTAATTACTTTGTATTTTTAGTAGAGACGGGGTTTCACCATCTTGGCCAGGCTGGTCTTGAACTCCTGACCTTGTGATCCATCCACCTCACCCTCCTAAAGTGTTGGCATTACAGGCATGAGCCACGTAGCCTCACCTAATTTTTGTATTTCTAGTACAGATGGGGTTTCACCATGTTGGTCAGGCTGGTCTCTAACTCCTGACCTTGTGATCCACCTGCGTTAGCCTCCCAAAGTGCTGGGATTACAAAAGTGCCTCCCAAAGTGCTGGGATTTTGACGGGAGCCACTGTGCCTGCCCTATCTTTTATTTTTGAGACAGAGGCTCACTCAGTTGCCCAGGATGGAGGGCAGTGGTGTAATCTTGGCTCACTGCAGCCTCTGCCTCCTGGATTCAAGCAATTCTCCTACCTCTCCCACCTCAGCCTCCTGAGTAGCTGGGACTACAGGTGCCTGCCACCTTACCCGGCTAATTTTTGTATTTTTAGTAGAGAATGGGTTTCACCTGAGTTAAGACTTAGAGGACTGCTGGGAAAAAAAAAAAGAGAGAATGGGTTTCACCATATTAGCCAGGATGATCTTGAACTCCTGGCCTCAAGTGATCTGCCCACCTCGGCCTCCCAAAGTGCTGGCATTAGAGGTATGAGCCACCATGCTCAGCCTCCCTCATAGATTTTCTTGTTTTTTTTTTTTTTTT